ACACACACACACACACACACACACAAACACATTTTATTTACTAATTTAACTGCATCAGCAAAGTCCCAGATTCCCTTCGCTTTGTTTGGCCCTGTAACGCTACCTTTGATTTCTTTCTAGCCCTTTTTTGCTGAACTGGTATTTTAATTTTTGTGGTTCTGCTGTTGTGCTGAGTTGAATCTGTCCATACCAGGTACCTGTCACCTTTAATAGACCTGTAGCCTACAGCTCAAGCCCATGTGTCATGTATCTCTATTCCACATCCCATCCCAGGATTCCCTTCCAATGGCCTCTGTGCACGGATTAGCCAAAGCGAGGCTGAGCATCCAAAACAGAGGTTCGCTTAAAATAGAGGGCCCAAGCCGGCTGTTTTCACTTTGCACCGGGAAGCAGATAAACAGTATGAGGTACAACCAGAGATACCCCTGCAAATGAAGTCCATAATGTCTCTGCGATCGGCTGCCCTTATTCTGCATGGCTTCTGCAAATCGGAATTCTTGTTAAGCACACTTTAGAAAGTGAGCGATGTTCCCAGTGTAATGCAGGAAAGCCTATTGAAAGATTAGCTATCGAAAATAGCTTAGTCTAGAGGAGGAGACATCTGTAAGTACCTTATAGAGGAAGGTTTCTGGTTTTATTTACTCTCCAGATGAAATGGTGAAATAATGTTATGCTGCAATTCAGTAACCTTGTTATGATATGAGAGCAGGTCATTACAAATATTGCTACATAACAGAAATACATTAATATGTAATGTACCACATACTTCAATCTCACTTTACACGCATTTTCTGTTCACTTAAAATTTACACAAATATGTTGTTTTTTCTGTATTCCTGAAAATAAGAATCAGATCCAATACCCCGTGTGAGGGCCTGGCTATAAGCCCACTGGCCCTGCCATAAGTCACCGGGAAGCACGAATGTGGACAGGTGGACCGAGTCTGGCCACTGACGCGGAAAAGAAGGAGGTCTTTTGGGGCAGGGGTTCCTCAGTAAGCCTCCATGTTTCACCCGAGGAGCCGCTGTTGACACGGAGCAGGCCGTGAGCCCGCTGGCGGACAGAGGAAACCGGGCGAAGGAATGCAAAGACCGCCATCTGCCCATACCACGTATAACTTTATTACAGCGTGGTCCTTAGGATAGGGGCCAGCCATGTTCCTCTCTGCGACACGGAAAAGAAAACACGACTCGGCAGAGCAGAGCGTGGATTTATGAAAGGCAAGCGTTTTCCCACAAACACTAGCTTAGCGAATGACCAAGGGACTTCCACAGCATGCCCCCCCCAGTAATTTACTGACAAACGTAACTCATTAAACCCGAGGGCGGCAAGATGGTGACACTGGAGAAGACTAGACTGGATGCCTGGGATGTTCCTCCTTTAATGAAAGCCATTAACCTGTACCTCATACTGCTACAGAGGCCGCTACAACACATCGCGGCCTTATGACATGGAGTTTCACATGTCATATGATTTACATTTCCAAACACCGCCAACATATAAATATGTCATTCTCTCTAGAGACATCCTCAGAGAAAGCCATGGAGTCTATGAATGTTAATACTTATCAGAAAACCTTAAATGGCACGCAGTTTTTACAAGAACCATTAAGCTGAATGCTAAAGCAAAGTGGAATGACAACCACCAATATTTCATACATGTGAGGAAGCGGAGCTAAACGCTAAGTTAAATACTTTATTTAGGTGACGGCAACCATCATACAACAGCTGATGTTTCAGGGATTAAGATACTGTCTGTCTGATTAGGGTGCAGATAATGATTCAAGGTTAAGTACAGGTTAGGGGTGTTGGGCTACTTGTGTGCGTCAGGACTTGTGCATGTGTTTGACACCTTTCACTGTGTGTTTTGGGTCACTATGGAAATATCCTGGAGTAGGGTTCGGCCAATTATATTTCAGATTGGAGGTATCAGATTGAACTGAGTTGGTGCAGTAGTATTATGGGCTGGCATGTCAACAGAAAAAGAGGATCATATGTCATGTAATAACTTACAATTGATGATCTTCCATAAAATAATATAGTCTGGAGAACTCTTTCCCTGGTTTAAGGCCATGGAACTGTCCCTTCAAATCCAAGGTAATTGAATATTGGTAGAAGTGTAGCCATACAGTATTTTGAGAGGAGTGAGGTTCCAGCACTCATTCTCTGCCACTACCTCCCTCAGATACCCCACACGCCTCTGAAGATCTGAACTAGTCCCTGTACAAAATCCCCAAAGTGCTGTGTAGGTGGATCCATACTGAATATGTGATACAGAAATCCATTGTATAACTGCAGTGAAAGGGAGGCTTGCTTTGGACTGTATTATAACCTCAAACATAAAGCTATATTTATAACTTAAAATTACATATATCTACTCAGTTGGCACTTTATTATGTACCCTTAGCTAGTACCAGGTAGGACCCACTTTATTAGTTACACCTAACTAGTTACTGGGTAGTTACACCTAGTTAGTACCAGGTAGGACTCACTTTGTTAGTTACACCTAAACAGTACCAGGTAAGAGCCACTTTATTAGTTATGCCTAGTTAGTACCAGGTAGGGTCCAATTTTGTTGTCATAACCACTTCAGGAGTAGGATGCATTCAAGGAAGCCTTTCTGCATACAAGTTATGCTGAACTGCTATTTTTGTGATTGTTCTGCTAGCTTTAATGAGTCTGGCCATTCTCATTAACAAGGTGTTGTCAGCCACAGAATGGTTCATTGCACCATTATCTGTAGATTTTGTTGTGCATGAAAACATAAGAAGGTGGCTGTTTCTGAGATGCTGGAAGCACCTTGTCCAACAACAATCATAACATGTTCAAAACTACTTAGAGCTAATGTTCAGCCGGACAGCAGGTGAACCTCTTGACACTGTATTTAGAGTTGAGGCCACATGATGACTGTTTGCAGGAGCAGGTTCTCCAGTCAGGGCTCCTAATAAAACTGACCACTGGGTGTATTTTGTGAAATTTCGTCCATCAAGTTCACCTAATAAAATCAGAAAAAATCTGACGGAGTGAAGAAAATGTCAGCTCTAGTTAAATGCACACATGAGACTCAAGCAAAATAGCACCCAAATAAAGTGAGTAAACATTCGGGAGATGACCTTTAACCTCCTGCTAAAAACCAATACTGTTTCCACACAACAAGCCAAACAAACTAATAAACAAACAAACATAGCAAACGAAACGTAATCCTGTCACCGTGGTAACCTGAAACGAGAGCACAGAGGATAACCTTCTGGATGAGGTCCAGACGAGGTGGCCTGCTTCGGTAGCTTAGGGTTAGGCCCTGTCTATCCCTGAAGGACACACATACAGCGTCGTAGGTCCTGCAGTGGAGTAAATAATTTACTATTAATAAGAAACAATTTGACCCTGGAGCCAGATTACTCAGCTCAAGGCTCTGGCTTTGCCAGCTTCGAGGTTACGCCTTTCAGCTTTAAAAGTTAAGCTCATCCAATCCCTCTAGTGAGGTTGGCAGAACATTCAAATATTTATACGTCCTACGGGAGTCCTGCAGGGCTAAAATTAACAGTCAGCGTTTCAGCTGAAGCTCTCTGGCGGATAAAAACAGCGGCGTAGTCTTACACGGGTCTTTTGCACCGGCATAGCCGAGTGACGCGTGTGCCTGAGACGCCAGGCTGAGAAGGGGGCACTTTGTTTTGGTTCCATTGCTCATCTGATGGTGGCATATGTAAGGGATTTAAACCCATCACCACACAACCTCACAGAGGGCCGTGGGTTTGAGGACATGCAGCCTATCTGCTCAGCCGACTGGCATCTCCCAGAGCTCACACCCTCGTCGGCAAGGTCACTCCACCTGTCACAGCCATGATAATTCCACCTCCCACCCCCCGCAACTACAAATCCACCCAGACAGAGGGCTGCCTCCTGTATTAGGCCACCTGTCTCTGTGCAGACTGCCCTCTGCTGGTGGGTCGGGGATCTCTTTAGCACCACTCTGAGTTTAAATTCCCACACAGCACCCTCATGCACTGCTTTCCGGGCGAACACTGCCGTTCCATCTGAAGTGCACAGCTGGGCATGAATCTATGACTTTTTGAGGGAGATACCAGAAAGTGACCACAGGTGCCCTTTTCCAGTTCCTGGCACAGAAAATGGGGCTTTGGGAGACAGAAACTGTCGATAGGGTGAGATCAAACAACCCTCTGGGTCCCCAGCTCAAAATTATGAAGCGACACAGAATCAAACCTTTAGCTGACTCAGATTCATGGTTCTGGGTGGGCAGGCTTGATGATTTAGATGGTACATTCGAAATGGCATCTGAGCAGGCAGCAAAAACGCCAATTAAGAGGTTAAAAGGTGCCATTCGGGGAGGGAATGAGGTAAGAGACCTCACAGGGGGGAGGATTGCAGCGTAATATGAGTATCGAGAGAGTGAATCTCAGAGAAGTTCAGGTCAGCAGATGCAGAATTCTGCCGTCCTAATAAAGCAGGGTTTTAATTAGGCCCTGTGTACACAGCAACCTTTACCGTACTGAGAAGGTGCGCAAACGCGAAAGCTAAGCATGACCATGGGAAATGGGGCCCACCTTGCTGTTTATAAACGGCCTTTTTCCCCCAGCCCAACGAGGGGCCGGGTGCCAGACAGTGACAGCGCTAAGTGACCCTGTCGTCCTTGGCGACGCGGATCACCTTGGCAGCCCTCATGGCCCTGGCACCTAGTGGGGGGGCTGTTGGCGGCGCCAGAGGACCAGAGCGTGGGACCCGCTGGCTGGACAGGGCGTTCCTCGGAAACGGGATGTATTTCCCCTTTGATGCTCTCGAAAAGCCATTAATAAACTTTGACTGACACTCCTCATATTCCAGCCGCAGTCTGAATAATGTAAAACCTCTTTTCAGCCTCAAACAAATCAGTCACAAGGATGTGTGCACACTCACTATAGAATCACACACTCCCATATATGATTATGAAGTGCGAGGCCTTTTCCCTGGTTTCACCATGGCAACTGCAACTACATTCACCCCACATTCCACTTTCATAGAGCCTAGCATAGCTAGAGAGCTCGACTGGCTAATCCTTAAACCAGGTCCTCATATGTCCCATTTGGGCTGTCCAGGTTCCTCAAGGCCCTGTACTGGGTAAGCAGGAGATGGATGGATCAAGGCTGTGATTAAACTGAGATTGATCAGTTATGCAGAAGCTCAGTATTGATACTCAAAGGGTCCGGTTTGCTCTGCCCTGCTGTCTCAAAGCTTCTGACGAACACCTGGAGACATGTGACTGCTCCGTCCCCCATGCGCTAGGATCCTTAGTCCATCAACGCATCACCAATGGTGTCCCCTCAGGCGTGTGTGACAGAACCAACTGGGTTGAAGACATAAGAGTTCCACAAAGAAGGCGGAACCCTCTGCACCAAAATCGTCCCCACAGCATTTTTTAATGATGTAGATTATTAATGTTCATTGTGTTCAATTATTCATATAAACATTATGAGGTCAGGGGAATATTTAGAACGAATGTTCTCTCACAGTCACAGACACAGTTGAACACAGATGGAGCTCTCATTCTACAAACATCAGGCTTCTGTACATCTCCGTACATGAAAGAGTATCAATGAAGGAGCAGATGCTGGTTCTCCTTCAGCAGGATGGGTAACGAGGTCACCTGACCGGCGGGGCTCCAGCAGAGAGCAGAGTACAGATTGATCTGTAAAGCAGAGTGGCCACAGACCAGAACACTCAACACCTTCATCGGTGTTTTTGGAACTAATATAGCCTCCTCACAGGCAGAAATCCATAGTTTTCTGTTAGGAAAATGAGAAAAAATGGGCACATTTTAAATATTAAATTGTAAGTCATTTCCATGCGTGAGCCAGTAACACAAAGGAGTCATTCCTCACTGTGATGACATTCTTTAATCTTCAGGCGTGAGCTTTTCATTAAATGTATCACCGTAAAAACAGTCAGGTTAACCCTATATATTATAAATGGAGTTAGATATATAGTCAGCATTAAATAATCCACTTGACAAGTTTATAAACCACCTATTTCTGGCCATCAAAACAAAGTTAGAATTTTATAGATTACTATGAAAGTTTACAAAAAACTGACCAAACTCCTTGACAGGTATCCCAGTGTGACCAGGTCATCTGTCCTGATGAGTCACAAGTAAGTGGCTTCCAACAGTAATAGTAACTGCTGGTTGTTTACAACAAAGGTTAAACACGACGTTGAGGTATGCACTTCACCTCCAGTAGACAATTAGCCCTGATAAGACCATTTTAGCCATCACCCAGAACTGGGGGTCACATGACTGGGATTATCCAATTGCTGGGCCTCCTGAGTATTTTAGCGAATTTGAATCTTTTCTCCCCTTTTTCATCTGTGTAAATAAACAGGGATCGGCTTCAGATATTAAATGCTGGTTTAAATGGTCATTTGCACATAACTGCTCAGACCCTGCTACTCCTCCCACCCCGAACTGAAGGGTGAGTTCCTCCGCCCCTAACCCCCAAGCTGGTTTGGATGGGAAATTGCTTTGCCTTGTATTTTCCACTTGGTAACGCAAGCGATCGGCAGGGCACAGGAGTCGGCGTGCCACAGATGGCTGAAATAGCGCTTTTCCAGGGCTGATAAGGGGGTCTGAAATCCAATCACTCTCTGGCTGTGGATCCTCCCCCCCCCGCCCCCCGACACACTGCCCGGGCCCTGTGCTCACGCATCTCATGCACAGAGACATCCTGCTGTTATGTAACTCCCTGTCTCCATGGCTCAAGCACGGAGACACACCGGGTGACACCGAGGCCAGAGGAGAGCCGAAAGGGGGCCGTGAAAAGGACCGGCCCGCCTCTGCCCAGCAGAACACGGGGAACTTCAGCCCCGGACGTTCCACAATCAGCACTGTGGTATCTCATATAATTAGAAAGTGAAGATGGAATAAACATCCCAGTAAATGCGACAAGACTAGGGTGTAACGTGAAGAGCAGCAGCTGGAAACTCTGTAATATAGCAATATTAGCTAGGTGGCGTAGGGTGGAAGTGGGTAAAGATGAAAAACAGAGGAGTTTGCTCTTATTCGTGTCACCGTCAGTCCGGGGAGAAGCGAATGGGGCAGCTACAGTGCTCTAGATCAGGGGTCCGCAAGCACGGGGCCGGGGACCGGTACCGGGCCGCAGCGAACGGACCGGTACCGGGCCGCGGCGAACGGATAACAGAGGCTGTTTCATCTTGGAAAACACTAACATCTGTGGCTCATAGGTGCGATAAGGCAACGCACTTGGCGATTACAGTAAAATCCCGTTATAGTCGACTCGCTTATACCGGAATATCGTCTATAACGGACGTGGTCCGCTGGTCCCGGCCGCGCACCTTTAAGAACATGCAGAAAAAGCATCGGATATAGCGGACTCGCATATAACGGAATTACGCTTATAACGGACAAACAATTTGGTCCCCAGGGCCGCTTTTAGCTGTAGTTTTGTTCGGCTTTGTTTTTAGTTGTTTCTATACCGGTCCGTGAAAATATTGTTTTACATGAAATTAGTTAATGTAAACCATGGCAAAGAAGGTTGGGGACCGTTACATGTCTCTCAACACGCCCCCCCCCGTCCGATGTTAATGGAATAAAACCGGTCCGTGGTGGGGACCACTGCTCTAGATTAAAGATTAAATTAACTTCACCCCACATGAAAGGACTCATTTTTAACTTTCAATAACTTGGCATTTAATAAAAAAGTGTCTACTTATTTACAGACTTTTATTCAAATCAATATTCCAACTTGCCAAATCTTCTTAAATGCATTTTTAGCAAAAAAATAGTCGATTCTGTTATACAGCACCGCTGTGCTGTTTTAATACATTTATAATTTTCCAATGATAATGCACTGACACATACTGGAGAGATTTGTGCCGCACTAAACACCATCAATGCAGATCAATGCCATCATATTCACACCCGACACATCAGTGCCACGTTGCAGTCTAGAATGTCCTACCCATGCCGACATGCTGTAGGCTGCTCTTCTTGCAGATTGAATTTCACTCTCTTTGTGAGGCTTAAGTCAAACCAAACAGTCCCAGTTGCCACACTACAAGACGCCGTCTCACCTCCCGACCGGAGACACACATGTTTTGGGCCCATGTTATGCTTTTTCCCTGCAAATAGACACCTTCAGAGGGACAACCCTGATGAAGGCCCGAAAATGCTAGCAAAGAAGATAAAACGGCACAGCCAAAGGGTCTAGCCCTCTTCCCCTAGCATGTGAGAGAGACAGAGCCCACCGAAGTTGGGCACAGCTTGGGAGACAGGCCTAATTATCCCTAAGAACTTTGTACTCTGCCAGGACCCTGTCAGCACAGTGTTTGGGCAGGAACTGCCAATGCAGGCAAACAGCAGCAAAAGATTTAAGGAGCTTAAGACTAAAGCTGGGCAGAAACCAAAGCCCAACGCTAGTCCAACGTTAGCCCAATGCTAGTCCAACGTTAATCCGTTAGCCCAATGCTAGTCCAACGTTAGCCCAATGCTAGTCCAACGTTAGCCCAATGCTAGTCCAACGATAGCCCAATGCTAGTCCAACGTTAATCCGTTAGCCCAATGCTAGTCCAACGTTAGCCCAATGCTAGTCCAACGTTACCCCAAAATCCAGTTGTTCTGTGCATCATACTGTAAATCGTGTATGCATAGTGCCTACTTTGTTTACGATATACTGAAGCCTTTCCGTTTTGGAGTTTGGAATGTGTTATCTCATTAAGGCGCAGATTCATGCTGCTATTCTTATAACAGTGGAGTTTATAAATTCATGACACTGAGATTTCAAAGACATCTGCTCTGATTGTACAGTAAAGACATTATGTGCACATAAAGAACGTTGAAATTATATGAGATAACAAAGTCGATGGGCTGTTATTATAATACTGCCGAATCTGTGCAATGCAGATAAAAGACCAAAATCTACATTCTGGGTCTAATTTTGGAAAAGGTGTCAACATTTCAATGCAAATCAATTCAGATTTTATTTATATAGAATCACTGTCAGCATGGTTCGTTAAAATCACAAGCGACAGTAGTAATCAGAGCACCAGGTACACCATCACGTACACGGAATTAGACTCGTTTGTGTGTTTGGTCCTGCCCACCTTAAAAACACAAAGGAACTGACAGTCAAGGTGGCACACACAGGAATAAAGGAGAAATACGAAAAAAAAATTAAATTAAAAAAAACAAGTCCGATTCCAGCTTAAAATGACTGGGTGAGGAGGTGGGGTTAATATTGCAGGAAACCTGAGCACAGATAATAATAATAATTAAAAAAAAAATGTTTACTTCAGGTCGGGACCTCAAAGGATTGCACAGCAGGTATTACCCTAAACATTAATCCTGACATGACCTTCCCCCAAAATGGTTTTACTACGCAAGGGGCTGGCACTCCTAATTTTGTAGGCTTGGATAAAAAGCTTTGAGTTTAACACCTAAGTGAAAAGGTTTTCCAAAGTAATTATTTTTTCTATGCTGGCTGTGATATGATAAAATTAGCAAGGTCCCCTAAATCCCGCACTGATAGCAGTGATATCCCAGCAGCTGTTCGTATCGCTGTGTCCTCCAGATCGCCGCCTGTTCTCAACACATTATTCAATTTCAGAGGCTGGCATTTGACATCTAAATATGGGACTGCTAAACCACCGCAGGACGACTGACTTAAGTGCTTTTCTGTAAGCTGCAAGGGCAGCTATGCTGAAAGTACGAAGCTCGGCCCTAGAGGGCAGGAAAGCACCGGGTCCCATTCCTGGCCCACTCTCTCTTCATGGCTGTCGGGTCGCTTTTGCTCTAATGAGCTCCGCTGCTCTGGATCTTTACTTTGCTTGTAATTTATCTCTAACCTCACATGGACGTACACATGAAACGGGCTGGAACACTATACGAATTAACTGCGAATAGCTCGGTTACTCTTAATGATATTTTCCGCATGTGAACCCATACGCAACTTCACAAAAGTAAAAAGCACCATAATCACTTTTCCGTATCTCTTTCCACTACTTGTATCACTGCATGCTGATCTGGCCAACTCTATATATACCGACTATATATATGCCGATATTAGACATGAAACATTAATGTAGAACAGCTCGTAACTCTACTGCCCCCTGGTGGCAGGTGATACTGTAATTTAATTTATTTTCTGCAGTAGGATTTCACTGTTCGAAGAAATTATAATAATAATGTTTATTTTTTTTGCACCTGATGAGACAGCGAACAAATCTCCACGACACAGGGACTGAAAATAGGGGTATATCAACACCATCATGAAACAACAAGCTGGACAAACAGCCGTTTCGGGGCTCACATGAAAGACGCACCAACAGTAATCTACCAAAGTCAGAACAACAACTGATCTGTCACACTCTTCTGTCGCCAAAAACATCACATTCAGAAACACCAACGTGAACTTCAGGGGTGGCCCAGGCCGATACCCTAAACCAGAGGTGTCAGACTCCAGTCCTGGGGGACCGGAGCCCTGCACATTTTTGGGTTTCCCCTCATTTAACACACCTGATTCAACTCCTTGTGCTAATTACCACACAGCTCTTGAGCTGAGTCATTTGTGTGGGAACAGGGAAAAAGCTAAGCTACACGGGGCTCCGGCCCTCCAGGAATGGAGTTTGACACCCCTGCCCTAAACCAAAGGAAAATCCAAATAAAAGACAAACACTAACCTACTGTAACACAATCCAAACACATATAGACAGAAACCAAAAAGACAGCCACTCCCTACAGAATTAACCAGGGACTAACACGAAATACACAAACATAACATAAGATAACACAAGAAAGTCAAATCACAATCCAAAAAGGGCAGTCAGTCCAAGTCAAAAGCCAATCCGAAGATTAAAGTTTAATAGAAATATATCAAAGGTACAAGTACGAACAACAATCTTTCTCCAAGCTCCCCAACAAATCCAACTGTAGGCTAAAATGCCCCCCCCCCGCTTTTACAATAATAACAATAATAATTACCATAACCAGAATCTGTAAGCCCCAAACGCACACACACACACACACACACACACACACAGTCGTGTAATCATATCTTTTTGGGGACTGCTCATTCATTTCTATGGGGAAAATGCTAATGCTAACTATGATAACCTTAACCCCTACCCAGCCCTAACCATAACCATAAGTAACCAAACAAAATAGAAGCATTTTTCGTTTTTTGACTGCAGTCACAGATTTTTATAGAAATGAGTTTCCCCTTGTGAGGATTGAAAAAAATGGTCCCCACAACATCAAAATAACTTTTTTTTGTTTCACATTGGGGGGACATTTGGTCCCCACGATGTAATATATACATGACACACACACACACACTGTGGAGGAAATACAAAGGTTTTTGTACACTCACCTAAAGGATTATTAGGAACACCTGTTCAATTTCTCATTAATGCAATTATCTAATCAACCAATCACATGGCAGTTGCTTC